TCCATAGTCAGCTCTTATCCTCTGCCCTGAACAACTTAGTATTGGGAGCAAGCTTTCCAACCTATGTTTCTACTTTGTCTTTCATGAACAGTCAGAGGAAAAGCAAATGTTGTAGTAGTCTTTAGATATCTATATTTTAGTAGTAGTAGAAAGAAATCTGAAACTCACAATTTTTTTAACAGATGAAAATATTCACCATATGAAAATGAGAAAAAAAGAAAGACAAGAGATTAAAATAATGTTAATATCATAAGGATGTCACAGGAGCTACTTATAAATAAAAAGCTTACATATGAAGTAAACCCTATTGTACATATATTCTATAAAATTCTTAGTATGTAGGGGCATTTGCTACATTCCTGAAGATTCAAAGCAAATTGCCATTTGTCATAATGACTGAGTATATCACTGTATGGAAATAAATATAATGTAAAATATACAAGAAGCTCAGTGTGCATAGAAAATACAAGACGAATTTGTCATGGAAAGTTTTTAATCTCTTACTTAATTTCTTACTCTTACTGGCCTGTGTTTAGGAAAATGGAGTAAAAGCAGTGAACACAAAAAATATAACTGAAGCTTATCTTGATCTGATTCACAACCCAGGACATTGTCCCACATGAGTCCAACTGCACTTTGTAGGAGCTGATGAATAATGTTTCCAGCCTTCTAAGTTCTGCATAAAGCCATTAATTTCACAGTGCCACTTCACAGAATAAAGATAAGGGCAGAAATACCAAGTAAAATAATTCTAGGCCATTTGAATTCCCATCCTCTGGGGCTTGTTAAATTATGGCCAGCAAGAGACAGGGAGGGGTAAGTCAGTAGTGTGAAACACACTGTGAGTCAGATGCTCCTGTTGCTTTTCTTACACCCAGCAGAAGCTGCTCTGAAACACAAAGTGCCTGAGAACATTCAGGACACTGGAAGCAGAGAGGTCAGCTACCCCCTGCATGCTCCCTTGCTCATGCACTTCATGAACTACTCATTCACCCAGCATATAAAAAAAACATATCAGACTTCCCAGCTCATAGGCTCAATATCGGATCTAATGAATTACCTAATTTTCAAACTTTGAATTTTGTCATTAATATTTCCTTTAGTTCATCATTTATATTTCTTCTTCTTACCAACACTGAACACACCATTGTGGCACTTGACAATTTATTTTTTCCCTTCTTTTGCTCCTTGAGATGAATATCATTCTTAGAAAGTTCCTTAGATCACAAGATCACAAAATATTTTCTAAAGAGTTCTCTTGCTTTATTAGAATAATCTTAAATATTTTACATTTTTCAGATTGGTTGGGCTTGAGAGGTCCTCTGAAAGTGATTGCAAAATTTTCATCCCCTAACATCCAGTTAGAGGACACTGGACTTTACCTGAGGGAAACAGAGGACTCTACAGGTATACAAAATACTTCTAATTTAAATTCATAGAAAAGGGGATTATAAGTAATTAGCTTCTCTGTAGAATTCATTTTGCTTCTATATGAGAAGAAATTGAGACAGTTTATTGACTAACTCTCAGGGTCACAGTTGGTATCTAAACATCTAACTGAGCCAGTAGGAAAAATCGTTCAGTGCCTGATGCATCATGACATGCCAATAAGTAACTGAGGGAATAATTATAGAAGGAGTGGAGGAAAAGTAATTTCTAATTTAGTATGGCCATTATCTTGATCCCTGTGAAAAATGCAACATTTGCATAACAGTCTCAATCATCAAGGAAAAACTTTCAACTTCAATTACTGTTCTGCATGTATTCCACACATATTTTGGAAAAAGGGGTGATTTAATTTGATGTGAAGAAGAAAAGATAGCAAGTGGAAAGGAAAAAAAAAGAAAAAATTAATCTGGAAATAAATAAGCTACAATTAAAAGCAGATAATGGATCAAAATTTGAAATTTTAGCTTACTAAAAACCAGAAGGTCAGCAGAGTACAACTTTGACTACTACAAAATGTTTAAGAAATGGTTCTCTGTGAAGGACTTCATGATTTTTGTCTGTGTTCTATGTACAGCTTAGCTAAGACACACACATTTCTCAGTGATGTTAATGGAGTTTCAACATATAAGCCAAAGATCTCTCATTTAGCAAGGCAATCTTTAAACTTCACTTAGCATGTAAGTGTTTAAAAGGGCAATTTTCAAACCATTATGTAGAACTCATGATTTTTGAGATCAACTATAAATCATTTGGTTACAAGATGTATTATTCAAATAATTATAGCTACCTAGCTACTATTGTAATGTTAATTTGGTATATAGAACATTAGCTTTTAAAATTTTATTCTCCAGACACAGAATACTAGTGTTTTCTGGTAAGCTTACTCATTTAAGTAAGGTGTATTTCTCAGCTTCTCTCATCTTGAGCTCCATACCCAATCTAAAACTTAAAATTTCTGCATCAAGAAATATTTCCCCCTGAAGAGGGGAGAAAAGAGAACCCAGTATGAGGATTTGAAGCACAAATACCTCAAAGCAGGCCTTGTTAGAGATAAAGTAGACCAAAGGAAAAAAATAAAGAAAAATTTAAAAATCAGCTAAGTACACAGTAGGTTGATCTGAAAAATCAGTGATTAGCAATGAACCAGAAACTAAAAATACTTAAATGCTGTCTTAATATAGTTGTTGACAGTGACTATCCTATCATGTAACAGCATCTTGCAGGCACTCCTTTCCCTCACACCATGCCCCAGTTCAGACTAGCCTCTTCCAACAGATTTAGTGAAAGCCTAAACAAAGTGCTCAGATTATTTGTTTTCTGATCTTCTTTGAATTTTTATGGTCTCAGAAACAGCTCCTTGAAATGACATCATTTGTGCTAGAGGATGTCAGCTAAACTAACAAGGAGGACATGTGGCAGTGCCCTTTTGACACCATCAGCAGTGATGGGGTTCACCTTCTCTATCCAGGAGGAGCACTGTTGAGGGTTTTTCCTATTAGCTTTTTAATATTTTTGACCCATAACTGGCAGAACCTTCAGCTTTATTGAAGGCCATCTACTACTGGTTAGCTTAAATTTTTTTTGTAAAAGAAAGAAATCATATAAAAATAGGTTGACATCTTCTTTACCATACCTCCTTTACCATATAGATATAGTGGATGTTGGAAGACAGTTACAAAGATAGACGATATTGGAAGATAGTCACATTGTTTAATAAAAGAAAGCTTTACAATGCTTTAACAGCACTCTGCTCTACTACAGCAATGAAGCAGGTGAATTAACATAGAAGAAATTGAGATTGATAAGGCCCATATATACGAAACAATACAAAGAAAAATAACTGTCCCCACTTCATCTGTGTAACACTACTGAAGCCAACATAAGATGAGAAAGAAGAAGGAAAATTAAATATTTAAAGTTATTTTTAGGCATGGAGTTATAGCCCAAATTAGAGAACTTGAGTATCGTGATTAAGGAGTTTTCAGAAGGCGTCTCAGACAAAGTCACTCACATACCCTAGTTCTTTACTGAAGACTGTAATTGACTAAAGGAAAAACCTACTTTTTTACTTTTTAAATCCAGCATCTAAATTAGGTGTCTGAAGTTGAACACCATTCAGGTACTCCATTGTCCACAACAAGTGTGAAAGAAGCATGGTGAATTTAAGACATAAAGATGAGCTAACAAAACCTAAGGCAACCTTTGGATTATATTTCTATCTGAAGTATTGTCTCATTTCCATAAATAAATCTCTCTTTCTCTAGAGGGAAAAAAGTAGTAATGCTGTAACTTTTCCCAGACATGCTCTGAAATTATTTGTGTTGTATACACCATACTAAAGAACTGAAATTAGCCCCATAAATTTAAAAGTTCTGTGGTTTTCTACTGTCATTTCTTCTATCAGAGTACTGCATCATCAGAGTCTTTTTAAAAAGAGATTGTTAAGATGGAAGCATTCATGTTTTGTTGTTATTGCACAAACCATTCCCTGCAAGCCCTATATGTTATACTCCTAGAATCCCATTTTAATTTTTCACTACCTCAGAATACATGCTAAGTACTTAAGGCCTAAATATTGTGAGGATATATCAATTTTATACAGTGTCCACAGTTTTGAACAAAGTTAAGCTCTTGCTATTATTCATATGTGTATTCCTGCTAGAAGATTTCCACACTCCCAGTTCAACCTATGGATACCTGTACCTCAGTATTTTTTTATGAAGTTGCTGAGCTTATAATGTTTTCAGGAAGCCCTAGAAAGGCTAATAAAAAAGCGCCTTATTAAAAAAAAAAATCCCCTCCTACCAAAGTAATCCACCTTGTTTTAACCAATGAAAACACACACAAAATCTGTCAAAGTAGTCACAAATATTCAGTCTGCATTGGCAGAGTTCCAGAAATCTGCAGGGTGCTCAAATTACACACACACAAAAAAAGCATGTTGCAATTGTTGACATTGTCAGCATAAAATGCTTAGCATAAGGTGTACCTCTCAGAATTCAGGCTGGCATCTCTTAGAATTCAGAAGATTAAAAAGTAACTAATCTTGTATGCTTTGATGAGTACACAAGTAAACTTTTAATTATCCAAATTCAAAGCAAGAAAGACCCATTTAGCCATTAACAAGCTGCTGATCTATCAACTTCAACACCAAATATGAACACAGATCCTGCAACCTTCCAAAATCCCTCTGAAATCCTAAATTCTGTTTTTCCTACAACAAAGATTAATATCCTTCAGGCTTTGGGATCTAAGTACATTTAGATGAATGAGGTCAGCAGCCACATTTGTAAGGCAAGCTGCCATAGATTACTTTCTAAGAGACAACTGGTTTGTTCAGGCTAAAAAGGGCTGATTGCCCAGAGCAGTGAGTATAAACAAAAGGAAAAAAAAAATCCATAGGGTATCTCTGGAGTACAATACTTACTGTATTAATTTTTCTAGTCATTTATTCACTGTACACTGAGTGCAGACACTACAGAGATTTAATTGAACAACTTGGAAACACATACCCAATAGCAATATTCCAGACATTGTTCAGCCACGCTTACCTTTAAAGAAACAATCTTCATTGTGTACAATGGTGATCTTTTGCTTTTTCAGACAGGCAGCTCGGTGCACTTCACAGTGGTTTTCATAGAATTCTCCATCAGACCCACAGACAGGTTTGTAATGTGGCTTGCAGTGCTCCATGCACAGACACTCAGCTTGGCCAGTCTTCCCATTCACAACGCAGTGTCTGCCCAGACCACAGTACTTGCTCTCACATGATCCAAAATGGCCTTCCCAACCAAGATACCCTAAGAAAAAGGAAAAAAAAAAAAAAAAAGGCTTTAGTTAGTGATTATATTTTGCTTAATAGCATACAAGATACAAAAAGGATTGAAGGATTGATTTGCGTAAATGAAGTGAGATTATGTCTTTTGTTACATCTTGACTAATATTAAACATAGGTCAGCCTGATATTAAAAAAATGTAGTCTCTTTATCATTACTTTTATACTTTTAATCATTGTCATAGGCTAACTAATTTAGAGCAAGACCTAGTAACAGGAATAACTCTTCATTAAAAAATTCATAGTAAATCATTACTTTTTAAATGTATATTGAAGTTTGTCACTTTAAGATTGCCATACTGTTGCATGCAATAGAACAAAGTATTCTCTTAGTCTAAATACTAGTATGTCTCAAACTGGAAGGGACACATAAGGATTGAATCTAGCTCTGTGCTACTTGCAGGACTACCTGAATCTAAACCATGTGATTAATAGCATCTTCCAGAAGCTCTACAAACTCTGACAGGCAGATAAAATAGATATCCACACATTGAGACTGATCCATGAGAATAACTAGAGCTGAATCAGGGCTCTGAATCAATATGGAGAATTTAAAAACAAAATATGACAAAACCTCTGTGGTGGCATTACAATGACATTTCAGGGAAAAGAGCATGGAAGAGCAGGACTGATATATCACGTGAATGATGGCAAGAAGGAGTCACATGAACCCCTAGTGGTATTTCAATGATGAAAAATATGATATGGATAGCAAACAGAGCTTTAAGAGCACTGCAGTAGAAATAAAGGAGTTTCTGCTGGCCACAACTTTCAGTTCCTTCTGCTCCTAAAATAAGGAAATGGATTGTCCACATTAGGCTACCAAAGCCATATGTCTAGTTTCTATCCCATCTGTGCTGCTGCCACCATGTAATATAAGCACTATTGTCAGTAGCAGATCTCTTGGTGAGAGGAGAAGTTCAGTGCACTGTAATATTTCCTTATTATATCCACAGTTTCCATTTTGGCTGCCATAGAACTATCTGTGGCTTCTTGGCAAGAGAAACCTGAAACCAATGTGAAAATGAAAGCAGAACTGTCAACCATCACCAATAAATAGGTTTTCTGATAACATAATTGTGTCATAAAATACATATAAAAATACTAAAATACTGCCAAATGTGATAACAGACACTGCCCTTCACAGTTACTTAATTTTATTCTCTCGCTTTGTACTCCTAATGCCCAGAAAAAACGCCTGGTATTCTAATTCCTTGAAATACTTGCCTTATCCTCACATCCTAGCTGAATCCATCCTTGGCTAACCCATATAAAAACAGCATGAAGAAGCAAATCACAATGCATAATTTGGTAGTAATTTGGTTGTATTAGATTAATTTTCCATAGTGAAGTGCTAACATATCAACACCATACCTTGACACACATTTCTTCAAGCCACTGAGAATTTATGTTCTTCACTTCAGTGGCAGAAATAAAATCTCACCACTTTTTCTTCTGAAGCCTATGGGTCTATTAGACAACCATGCTTTGATTTCTTGCTTTCTCACACAGCACAAATTTTCTAGAAAAATGTACTACAGAAAGCACACAACCATGAAATTTGGCTCTAATGACATGCTTTCACTATGTTACTTGATAACAATTTCAGCACAAAGTTGAGAAGACTACATATTCATCTCAGGCGTTGTATGGCTGATATAACTAAGCCACAGTGATTTTTATACACATGTAAAACCAGACTGATGGTGGTTTTACCTGCTTATGCACCAAAATGACTTGAAACAGGAAAATTCAATTCAACATTTAAATTTTCCCATAAGTTTTTGAAAGTATTCCTCCTTGTGCCAGTATATCACCACTATACGTGTGCAACAGACATTAACCGACAGAAATTAATAGAAACCCAATTTCCTTATTTCCTTATACTAAAGCTAAGCTCAAATAAAGCTTTGCAATATCCAAGAGTGCTTTACAGCACAGATCATGCATTCTCGTTACAGAATTTAAAAACTTATTTGAAGTGATGGAATTGTTACAGTTTGAGGACAAAGTATATAAACCATTATTATTTATGCTTTCTGAATTGAAGATAAAGATCTCAGATCTCCATCTGACAACTGCTCTGAATTATTGAGAGGTGTGTGGTGACTAAAAATGTACTGTGCTGTATGTTATGAAAATAGAACTCATTTAAGACTTCTCCTGGGACTTAATCTTAGTACTATAATTAAATCTGATGCCTGAATTCTTTCAGATAAGGGAGTATAATTTACATTATATATATATTGATATTTATAATATTGGTATTTGTCAACATATACCAATTACATACAGCAATAAACAAGCAAATTTTCTGCCTTAATGAAAAACTGTATTTCTTATGAAATATTTTACATATGTCTTCATTTTACATCACTAACTACTCCAAAACAATACATACATTTGCATATGTCACTGCATATGCAGCTCCTTCAGTTGAAGTTGAAGGTAAAATTCCCACTGACCTTAAGAGAAGCAAGATTTTTTCTCCAGATACAATCTGAAGCCTTCAGTCAGTGTTAAATTGTAGCCTTAAGTTTTAGCATATTTAATGGACACTGTTCTGTACTGAGAAGGAGCAGCTATGTAGTGTTTCTAGTGGTTTACAGTACATATTTAAGAAAAAACAGTTAGAAGTGTACTTTAAAACAATCCACCAAACTGTGGTTACCAGATTACCAGATCACTCACAGCAAATAAATAAATAAATAAAATCCATGCAATTCCCAAACAGGTGACAAAATACTCACAACTATAAATTTGAACTAAACATGAACTCGATTATGAAAACATAAACAAATCAATCAAAGAGCTACTGTGAAATGCCAAGAAATGGGTTTGGATGTAAGTTAAAAAAACAAATGAACAACCAAAATCCAGTTTAAGTAAAATCAACTTCTTCTGCTTTTCACTGCTCCAGTCCAAATTGCAAAAAATCACTGTCAAATCTTTGATTTTATTTCTTGTTTCCAAAAAATGTACTTCCATAATTTTAATCTTGGAATAGAACTGCTACTACGCTACAAGAATCTGGCCATTAACAAAAGAGAAACCCCATTTTAAACCAATATGGACTGTGACATGCAGTCCATTCATGAATGCCTGACTATTTCAGTCATCATCAGGAAACTGACACTATTACTTTTTGTGCCTGGATTTATTATTATTGGAAGTATACTTCTGATACCTTGATAATATAAGAGGGTTTTCTCAGTTTGTTGGGGTTTTGGAGGGATATTTTTGGTTGCTCAGTTGGGTTTCTTGAATGTCAGTGTAAATAAGTCTCCTGGGATAAAACTGCAGCACCCATTCAGGAGACCATCATCATAGCACTTAATTTTAGAAAGTAAATTAGTCTGAGAAGAGCTTAGGATGTCGCATTTAGATATAATTCAGTAATTTAGTTGAGAAGGTAAGCAGCACAGCATATTCAATATTAAGAGATTGAAAGCCAGTAAGTCGGTATGACAAATCTAGCCATAATGCAAATATTTTTCCAGCAATTGTTATTGCTTATGTGATGATAGGTAAGTCTACATTTGTCAAATGCCACAACACAAAAACAGGAAAGTGTGTACCCATATGAGCTATGTACTCTGAATTTTCAGCTAAAAAAAGTATTATATTTACACATTTTGAGAGGATCTACAGTACTACAGGAAACCAAATATACTTTGTTCCACCTGAAATTAACTCAGGAAACATTAAAATTATCATAGCCTTAAGTTAAAAAAAAATCACACATTAAGAACTATCACTAAAAATGTATTACACCCCAAACAGTCAAAGCAGCCACATAGACTTTTCAGATTCTCTTGAAATTTAAAACTCTAAACAGGTACGAAATGGAAGGGCAGAAGATTTTATTTTTAGACAGTAGAGATAGCAAATTTGTTTTAAGAAAGAAAAATTATTAAATATAGTTTCACATTCTCAGTTGAGATTCCTCATACAGGTTCCCTGTTCAAAGGCTACTTCAACAGCATCCATAGCTGAGCAAGCTGCAGGTCACAGTTTGATCCATGTACATCTGGGAATTAAGCTGATGTTTTAGCACACAAAAGACTCACAGAAATACACACAGATACTTTATCCTTTTATCTAATCAGTTTAGAGCAACGTTGCAGAGTGAAACTTTGGAAATTCATTACAGTATGAATCACCATGTTCTGCAGTTGGCCCTGGGCTGGAACACACACACACAGGCTTTCCGTATGCTGAGCATTCTCTCACAAACTCAGACTGTTTTCTCATTTCCCCAACAACATAATTTACATTCATGGCTTCTATCTTAACTTGCTGCATCACCCACGTGCCACGTAAAACAAAGTGGTAGCTATTTTCCAAGATGTTTTGTGTGCAAATAACTAATGGTAATTTCTGGGGTCAAAAGACCTGTGGTCCCATTGCCCCCTCTTCTATTTAAAACCATTCAGTAAATTACAATTCTACCTCTACAGCCATATCTTTGCTTAATCTATGAAAGATCCAACCAAGACAGTAAGCCTTATTTTAGTAAGTGTTCAGTGTAGTCTCAGGTTTTAGTAGCAAGTAAGATTGATCACCATCTATCATTAAGTCGTAGGGCATTAACACTGAGCATGACCCCAGTATGAACTGTGAGAATCTGCCCATAAATATTAAAGCTCTAGACTTTTTCTATTTTTGAATTGTAATTTTTTAGCATCAGTTCTTTAACAATTTTTTATTTCACTAGCCAGAACAGCTTGTAATTACATTGACTGAACATTACACTAAATCTGTTTTACTCATTATCCAGAACCCTTGGTATATGAAATTCTTCAGAAATTTAGAGGATTTTTAAAATTTTGGTTAGGAATATTTTGGGCACAGGACAAAATTTAAAGAAATTTAAAGAAAAGAGTGGATTATTTGAGAGTAAATAAAAAATTGTTCAAAAATTTGTCAATATAATGACTATAGTAATGAATTTCCACCACATGA